GGGGGAGGGGGAGGAGGAGGGGGAGGAAAGGGGAAGATGGGGATGGGGAGAAGAAGGGGGAGGAGGACGGGGAGGGGGAGGAGGGTAAGGCTATTCGTTGGGGGTCGCAGTAGCAGTAGCAGTAGCACACTGGGATGTGTTGGAGTACGTGAGGGACGTGGAATGACCGCGAGTTAACGACAGCGCTCTGCATTGCCGTGGGGCTGTGGTCGCCGCCGCCGCCGCTGCCGTCTAAAGCCCCATAAGACCGCCCTTGGCCCGCACCGCCGCCGCCGCCGCCGCTATTGACGCTGCTGCCGCCGACGACGGCGACGACGGTGGCGACGACACCGCCAACGGCAACCGCCGCTGCTGGTTGATGCCGCCGCTGCCGCTGCAGATCTGCGCTGTCTGTCCCCTCCTGCCAACACGCATGGCCCTGGCAGTTTTGGCAGGAGAGCCAATACGTGGGGTATCTCGTACGGCAGCACCTGGCCCAGAACTTGTACGACAGGCTCTCCACACGGCCCTTCATGTCCAAATTGGAAAAGGTAGGGAACTGCATAACTCCGCTACTGTTACTGCTGTTATGGTGATGGGCGGCTGTTATTGCTGCTGTTCAGGCAGCTGCTGCAGCCGCTGCTTCTGTTGTTTACATATTGACGAATCCTCTGCCGCTGTATGGTGTGAACCTTTACCTCTATATTCTTATCACCGCTGATGCCATTTCTAGTCCACCGGGTCCCCACCCACCCCGCGCACACAGACGCACATCCTGCTACTGCCCCTGCCCCTGCTGCTACTGCCGCTACTGCCCCTGCTTCAGCGCTGGGTGGCCTTCCAGCTTCTGCTCGCGGCCGCCCAGATCCACAACCGCGGGGTGGTCCACGGCGACATCAAGTCCGAGAACGTGCTGATGTCCAGCTGGTCGTGGGTCTTCCTGGCGGATTTCGCTGCGGGGCTCAAACCTGCGGCACTGCCCGCGGATAACCCGGTAGGTGCGGGTTTGTGTGTATTTGGGGGGGGGGTAGGCGCGGGGGTGAAGGTTTGGGGGGGGGAATGGGTTGGGGGTTCTGTGTATGGAGGGGGAAAGGAGGGATGGGCAGGGCGATATTGCTCATTGATCGTTAGTGTCCGCGTACATGCTTTCCTCTCCTCTAACCCCATTCCTTGGCGAGGGCTTACCAAGCAATCCATGGTGCACAGCCTGGACTGCCCTCTCACGGCTGCCGTTCGGTCTCGGCGTCTCGGCGTGTTTTGTGTGCAGCACGAGGAGGTGTGAAATACCGTCTAGGCATGCCCCTGTCTATTGCCATTGCGCACGGGGCCCCCCTCCACACACACGCGTGCACGCATAGATACAACCATGCTTACAACCATACATACGTACATACATATATACGTACGTACGTACATATACACACATATATGCATACAGGCGGAGTACTCGTTCTTTTTCGACACCGGTGGTCGCCGCCGCGCCTACATCGCCCCCGAGCGCTTCTTCTCTTCGGACAGCAAACCCCGCACCACCAGTCTCACGCCCGAGATGGTGTGTTTGAGGGAGAGAGGGGAAAGGGGGACTCGGGGAAGGAGGATTGGAGGGGAGGGGAGGGGAGGGGGGTGCGCTGCTGCTGCTGCTGTCGCTGTTGTTACTGTTGTTTAGCGCCTTCCCTTTCCCTTTTCAACACGTGAGCTTCCCCTGCCGCCTTGTCCTTAAAAGCGCCGGCCCTGTGTTACATACGTACATTCATAATAATATACGTACATATGTACATACATATCCCCATGTAGTACGGAAATGGGCGTAGCCGTACTGCGACTAGAGCCACGACCACTACCGCCGGTCTCCAACATTGGGTATGTCTATGCTCAGAGCTATGGACGATCAGCGGAA